GTCTGCCCCTGCTCCGCGTGGCTTTATCGTCTCTCCGACGCCAGTCACCATGAGGTTAGGGCCTGCCTAATGATGTCCCTGTGCAGAGACCCTATCTCCCCCCTGAGCGTGCCTTTCCGGGGCCATGCTTCGCCACAGCAGCGTCCTTATATGCAGACAGACAGCCCAGATGCCCTTCCCGGGCCGCGTCTGCCCAAGGTCATGCCAGTGCTCACCACCCTTCTCTTCTCTCCCCTTCTCCCCTTTTCTCTCAACAGACGTGGGCGCCTTTTTCGAGGAGGGGATGTGGCTGCGGTACAACTTCCAGGCCGCAGGGCCCGGGCCCCGAGACGTGCCCGACGCACAGAGCGCGGCCCCCGACCTGACCCACGAGCAGTTCGCCTTCAGCTTCAGCACCTCCAAGGCTCCCTGCGTGCTGCTCTACGTCAGCTCGCAGAGCACCGACTTCCTGGCCATGCTCCTCAAGCCCTCTGGTGAGCCCTGCGACACGGCACCGCCAGCGGAGCACAGGTGCAGCGGGGTCCAGCCGAGGAGCAGGCGGGGCACCCCACACACCCACTTCCCAGCAGGCGTGCCACTGGGTGTGTGACTGCGTATCAGCGGTTGTGCCCAATACTCATGGCGTCCCTGCCAGGACCACAGGGCAGCAGCACAGGAGGGCGGAGCGGGGGTTGTGTCCACCGTGGGGATATAATGACCCGTGCTGGTGGTGCAGATGGTTAAGCAAACGCCACTGCGGACTATGGATTGGTAGTTCAGCGGTACCTCAGAAGAAAGGCCTGGTGGTCCTGAAAGGTCTCAGCCTCCTGTGTCCCAGGAGCACAGTTCTTCTCTGTGCACAGGGTCACCACTGGCCGGCATCCACTCCACGGCCGCTGGGAGATTTTATTATTGATAATTCAGTCATGCACTCACTGCTGGGGCAGTTTTATTATTGATAATTCAGTCAAGCACTCACCGCTGGGACTGCTGGGGGTGCCATCGAGCAGCTTCGGGCTCAGAGTGAGCCGATGTCACTCAGCACAGAGCGCCGGCAGGTCCTGCGCCGTCCCCACAGCGGCTCTTGTGTCTGAGCACCCCAGTACAGCCATGTGTCCACCCAGCTCTTTGAGGCCCTTTGCTTGACCACGCGCGCTGGCCTTCTCCAGGACTGCCCTCTCCTCACAGCACGCCCAGAGCACACGAGACCGAGACCAAGCTGGCCGCCCTCACCTCTAGGAGCATGCCGCTGTACTTCTTCCAAGACGGATTTGTTTGTTGCTTTGAAAACCCACGGTACTTTCCACTTTCTTCCCCGGCACCACAGTTCACATCCTCGATTCTTCTTCAGTCTTCCTGAGTCAGCCTCCAGCTTCAGCTGCAGCTGCAGCGACTGAAACGACCACGGCTGGCTCAGGCCACCTCAGGCCTCCAAGTAGCCCCCTTGCTCCCCAACACTTCAAAGAGGCCTCGTGCAGCAGATGTGAGGTGAGCTTTGAAGTCGTACAGTTCACTGCATCAGGAAGTCACCCTGGCGTATGACGGCGTATCGGGAGACCCCACAGAACGTACTGGCTTTGCACAAATGGAACACCACAGAGGGTCTTCATTGTCTCCTGCCGCAGTCTCCAGCGTACCACAAATGGGGGCTTCCCCAAACTGACATCCACTTTCTCACGGTTTAGGAGGCCAGGAGTCCGCCTCCTGGGCGCAGCCCTGGGGAAGACAGGCTTTCTGTCTGTGTGTCTGCTCTGGGTGAAGACCCTTGTCTCTTCTCAGGTCCCGAGCAATCCTCATTGGTCTTGGAATCGCCCCTGCCCCATCCCTGCCTGCTTCTCTTGTTTATCTCTTGTAAGAGATTATAACTAGACACACACACACACACACACACACACATATCCCGTAATAGCCCTGCCTCCTCACCTTGACAGAAAACCCGTTCCTCAGGGGGCCCAGCCCTGGGCATGGAGGCTGGGGTTGATGACACACTTTGGGGAGGATAGAACTTAGTCCATATCAGAAGGTTACCTGTGTGTGGTGTTGACAGTATTGTTTGGGAATGCCACGTTTGGTTGGACGACTTTTCTCTGGGAGGGGCATAAATATGGGCCTTGGCCGGCCAGTCGGGCCGCCCTTCCAGAGTCCTGGGCATGGGCAAGGACGCACTCAGCTGGGGAAGAATGTCACCGTCACCGGGTCAAGCTCCCTCTCCTCTTGGTTCTCGCAGCAAATCACTTCTGCCGCCTTGCAGTGAAGCTGTCGCAGACCTCTTAAGTTGCCGTTGCTGAGTCTGGGAGCACCAGAAATGAGACAGGGCTGAAGAACCCCCTAATGCTGGCTTCTGTAGAGCTGGGGCTTGCTGGGGCCAGGGGTGCCAAAGAAACGGCTTATCTGCACATACCCAATCTCTCGGAACAACACACACACACATACACTATCCTGCTTATCTATATACAGAGCTAGGAATGGTGCCTGGCCCTTTGCAGGGACCATGATGACTGTGGGCATTGGGAGTGGACCCCACATGAGTGACGTCAGAGAGTTGAGTCCAGCCCAGCTCGGCCCAGCCCCCAGGCACGGTGTCTTGCAGGGAGGCTGATGAACGGAGACAGCTGCACATGTGAGAATGGCGCTGTGACTCCAAGCCACCAAGCCACCAGGAGGAGGGTGCAGGGGACACGGGACCCTCGCTGTGTCTTCTGCATGGGGCCACACAGCCCAGGGGGCTCATGCTCCGCCATCTGAGCCCTCCCTGGAGCCATCTGTGCAGGACCTGGGGGAGAAGGGAAGGGAGTTCCCAAGAGGAAGGAGAGAGGTCTTGCAGAGGAAGCCCATGGCTGCCTGGGCGTGCAGAGCGGGAGGTGAGTGGTTGGGCTCCCGCAGGAGGGCAAGGTCACAGCCCCGGGAGCGCAGCGTCGGAAGCCAGAGCGCCACTCAGAACGATCGGAGTCCTCGTCCCAGGAGCAGCGAGAACCGGACAGGGAGATCCTCCAACACGCGCTCGGGAAAGTGTCCCCTGCCCCGTGTGCTTTGTGAAGAAAACATCAGCAAACAGAAACCCTGGACCCGGAGACCGCGAGCACTCGGTCATTGGACAGATGTTCCCTGAGCACCTGCTCAGGCGCGGAGCAGTGGTGAGGGTGGCCCGGGATGGGCAGTGGTTCCTTTGGCTGGACCTAAGGACCGGCACCGACGCGATGGCACCTGACGACAACATGTACCAGAAGGAGCCCAGGTGACGTCTGGGTTATGCGTTGGGCTGCTAACTGCAAGGTCAGCTGTTCAAAACCAGCAGCCGCTCCTCGTGAGACGATGAAGGTCGTCTTCCTGTCAACAGTCAGTCTTGGGACCACAGGGGCGGTTCGGCCCTGTCCTCTAGAGCAGAGCTTCCCAACCTTCCTACCGCACGACCCTTTCATGCAGTTCCTCATGGGGTGGTGACCCCCCACCATAACATTATTTTCCTTGCTTCTTCATTTTGCTACTGTTATGAATCAGGTGACCCCTGTGGAAAGGTCCTTTGACACCCCTCCCAGGGGTCGAGACCCACAGGTTGAGAACCGCTGCTCTAGGGTCACTGGGTCAGCATCAACTCGATGGCAGTGAGTTTTAGTGTTTGGGGTTGGCGCCCTGGTGGCATGTGGGCTAGGCGTGAGGATGCAGCTGTGAGGTCAGCAGGTCAAACCCACAGCTGCTCCATGGGAGGAAAAGGAGGCTGACGGTTCCCTAAGATTGACAACCTCGGATAGAGATGTGACTGTGCGTCAGCACTGGGCAGAGGGCAGTGGCGTGAGGACAAAATGGGAGGGTGTCTGTCCCCGTCACGATGTGCGCTTTCGGAGATCCCAGAAGGGTCGTCGCTGTGTGTTGGGCTTGATGGCATGGAGGGTGGGGTTAGCTCGGTTTTCAGTTTCATACCAGACAAGGACAGCTGGTGGCGCCATGCTAAGACCTTGGCTCCTGAGGGCAAGTTTGGTGGTGCGAACCCAAACCCCCAAGAGAAAGAGGTGGCAGTCTGCTTCCAAGAAGCTTAGAGCCCAGAAAACCCCAAGGCAGTTCTCCTCAGTCCTAAAGACTCAAGGCGAGTCGGCGTCTACCAGACAAGAGTGCGTGTGTGATGAACCGGCAAAGGTCCCCGGAAGGGGCCCTGGTGGCGCCATGGCTAAAGCACTCGCTACTCATGGAAGGTTGGCGGCTTGAGCCCACACCATGCTCCCAGAGGGCCAGCGCTCTGCTCCCAGGATCCCTCTCGCTAAGGACCCGTGAGCCAGGCCCACCATCCTGTGGATGTCCTGTGGGGTGGCGGCAGCTCCATGGCTCTGCACAGTATTTTACAAGGTTTACCCCACACCCCAGTTCTGTCCTACCTCACAGCACTTTGTGGGTTCATCCTGCACCCTGATTCTATTTTATCTCACAGCACTTTGTGGGATCACACTGCACCCATCATTTCTAGCTCACAGCACTTTGGGGGCACCCTCTGTGGCATGTGGAGCGTGGTCTCACCCCTAGCTCCAGGCCCAGTTGAGGCAGCACCCACCATCCCCACCCCACACCCCTTCCTTACTTAGGGTGATGCTCAGGTGAAAACCAAGGGTGCGGGGGCTGCTAGCCCCATGGTTGGGGTGGAGCAGAATTCGGGGTGCAGGTACCCACGGTCATCGGTGGGGGCTCTGTGTGAGCCCCTGCAGGGGTGGTAACACCACGTCCCCCGCCCCTCTTCCCCTTGCAGGAAGCCTGCAGCTCCGGTACAGCCTGGGCAGCCCCCGGGAGCCCTTCCTCGTGGACCTGGAGCACAGGAGCTTGGCCAATGGGCAGCCCCACAGCCTGAACGTCACCCGCCGCGAGAGGACACTAGAGCTGCAGGTGTGGCCCGTCCGGGGGAGGGGGATGGGGGGGTCTGGGGAGGGGGGCGCTCAGACTTCCAGCCAGGAAGCAGCGGTGGGTGGTGGGCAACTTCTCAGCAAGCAGCCAGTGGGTCAGCCCCACGCACCTGCGTCTTTGTCTGCTCAGCCTGTGCCACACCTTCTTGACACCTGGGGGAAGGGCCCAGCCACCCAGGCCCAGGGGCTCCGTGTGTCTGACCGTGCACAGGCTCCACACAATGCCCGCCAGCGTCCTTCCTCCGTGCGTGCCCGCCGGCCGGCCACGGGAACATAGACCTTCCCAGCCCTCGGCACCCAAGGGGGCTTCAGGTGGCCCTGGGGCTGCACCTCTGGTCCCTACTGAGCCCCCACCAGCCTGTGCTGGAGAAGCTGCCGGGACCTCATGGGGGCTCCCTGGGAGGGTCAAAGGGGGGTGGGCATCAGAGAAGTGGACTTTGTGAGTAACCTGGGATCTAATCCCTGCAGCTCTGTGCGGGCGCTTGGACACACACCAGCTCCGCAGGCAGCCGCACAGGGCCACCGAGTCCTCAAGCCAGCCCACCGGCACAGGCGGGGCAAACCCCAGCACCTGGTGGCTTCCCACATCTCCCCAGCATGGCAGCCACCGGCCCACTGTGGGAGGTGACTGGGTTGTGGTTAGAGACGGGCTTAAAGAACTGATTCTGTCTGTCCATCTGTCTTTGTTGGCGTCTCACCGTTGCAAAGTGAGAGTGGGTGTGAAGAGAGCCCCTCGCTGTCTGTTGCATCCACAAGCTGGTGCCTGTGACGGCGACAGCTTCTCTCAGGGTTCTCAAGGCTTCAGGGGAAGGCTCTCGCCCTGCCAGCTCTGGGGAAGGGCCCTGTCCCCCTTCGGCACTGTGGGGCCCTGGCCCTGGAGATCCGGGGTCTAGGGGGTTCTCGGCAGAGGACACGGTCTGCTCTCTTGGCGCAGTCGGTCCCCCTCTGCTCACTTTTCCATCCCTCTTATATCTCAGAAAAGACGGACCCAAGACTCAGCCTAGTCCCATGGGCGGTGTCCTACCGTCTCCCCATGCCCTGGTGGGGTAGTGGCTACGGCTTGACCTGCCATCCACACAGGCGGCAGTTCGAAACCACCAGCCGCTCCGTGGGAGAAAGACTGGCCTTCGGCTCCCGTCAGCAGTGACACCTCGGAGACCACGGGCGGGGAGTTGATGAGTCAACATGGATTGACTCAATGGCAGTGGGTTTGGTTTGGGTACCATAACATAAAAGAATGAACCACAATTAAACACAATTACAGGCCACTATGGGAAGGAGAGGGAGCCCTGGTGGCATAGCGGTTACACGTTGGCCTGCTAACTGCAAGGTCTGCACTTCGAAACCACCAGCCGCCCCATGGAGACAGATGTTCTGGTCTGAGAAACCCACAGGGCTGACTCCGAGCCACATGGGCTCATGGCGGTGAGTCTGGATTTGGTCTGCCGCTAACGCCACCTCATGAATGTCGTGGGGTGAGGTTGCACGCCCCACGGGGTAATTGCCTTTTATCCCACATGGAGAAGGATCCTCAAATCATGGTCTGGCCGATGGACATACATTTGAAGGGGAGGGGACACAATTCAATCCAGGACCAAAACTGGACAATTAGCTGGACGGCCAGTGTAAACCTGGAGACCCACCGGAGTCATGGATCTTAAGGGCTGGCCCTCTTCCTGACCCGGCCCTGCCCTTCTGAGCCACCCGCACAGGAGGGGACATGCAGGTGGGAAGGGAGAGCAGGGCTGAATTGCCCACATGTCCCACTTTCACGGCAAGGGCAGGGAAGGTGCCCTAGCGCACCCTCCCCGGCCCCCCACCCCACCCCGCCGGCACATTCAGCCCACTGAGGCTATCCACTGACTCTTGACGGTGCACACACCAGCTCTTTTCTTACTTCTATTTTCTGCCCATACGGGATGAATAAGACCACGTCTACGAAGCATACGTGTGTCCTGAATCTACTCTGCTTGCCTCCCTCCCCCCACCCCGCCCGAATGGCCAAATATAATGACAGAGTAGCCCTTCAAACGTCCCACCAAAGAGAAGGGCAGAGACCCAGCAGCTCCCACCATGGCCCGCCCAGGCCTGTGCTGGGCAGCCTCTAGCGCCCCGGGGAGCATTTACGTACATCCGTCAGCCTCCTGGCTCCTGGGGCAGCACACCGAACCCCAAACTCACTGCCACCCTGTCGATCTGACCCCTGGACAGAGTCAAACCAGGAAACCTTTCCAGACGCTGACAGCCTCCTCCTTCTCCCCCCAGCCGGCCAGGGGTGGTATCCCCAGGGCGCCTCACAAGATGCGTCCTTGGCCTCCGGCCCCCCTCCCCAGCTGCTCTGTCTGTCAGGACCCCAGCCCCCTGACCTCAGCCCAGTGCGACGGGCTCTCGGTCCAGTTCAGGAAGCTCCCAGGGTAGTGTCGTTGCCATCGCCAGAGTCGGCTCTGACCAGCGAGCCCGTGGACAACAGAATCAAACACTGCCCAGTCCTGCGCCAGCTTCACAGCGGCAGCTAAGCTTGAGGCCGTCGTTGCCGTCACTGTATCAATCCAGCTCCTTGACAGTCTTCCTCTTTTAACACGCGCTCTGCTTTACCAAGCGCAATGCTCTTCTCCAGGGACCGGTCACTCCTGAGAGCACGTCCAGGACGCATGGACTGTGCCTCCTGCTGGCAGTCCGGGGAGAGTCGGGGTTCTGTACCAGCACTATCACTCTGACCCTCCTTACTTCCTGCCCGGCCTTCCCGTGCATGTGGGGCGGTTGGAGACACCTTAGCGCACCATAGCTGCTGGGGGTTTTAAAGAAGTCTTGGATTTGCCCAGTACGTTGTAAGGGGAAATGTTGACTTGAGAAACAAATTCATAAACAGGCATGTGTGTATAGGAAAGAGCTTTATATTAAGAGTAATTGTATATGAAGAAAACATCCCAGCCCAGTCCAGATCAAGTCCATAAGTACTATATTAGCCCAGATGTCCAATACCAGTCTATAAAGTCCTCTTTAGACTCACGCAACACATGCAATGATGCTGAATGCTGGAGGATCACAGGCCAGTGGTTGGAAAGTCTTGTGGATCCAGTGGTGGTAGAAGCATCTCAGCGCTGGTGTGGGTCTCCACGTGGCTCCTGCAGCTCCAGGGCTCTGGCCCCATCAGCGTAGCTCCATGTAGCTCGTCAGCAGGAAGACGAAGCAGAGAGAGAGAGTTTGTGGTCTGCCTCCAGGGAGGAAGACAGGGGTTCCCAGAATCCTCAGGAGAAGGCCACGCCCACACAGAGGCCTCATTGGCTATGACCTGATGACAGGCGAGACTCCGCCCCTGCACTCAAGTTGACAGGAGATGATGTCACGGCCGTAGGAAGCATGTTCTGGAAGGGAACGTCGTATTAAACCAAGGAAACCGTGGACTGAATTTTTTGTGTTTCCCTCTTCTCGTTTGGTGAGTCGAAAAGAAAGCATCTTCTTGGGAAGCTGGGGAAAGCACAGGGTCCCCGGAAGACGCTGGCCGTGTGGCAGGAAGCGTCACAGGACCCCCGCCCCCCATGGTGTTGTAGAGCGCTGCGCACTGGGAGTCGGTTGTTGGAGCTCACTGTGTAATCAGTGAAAGAAAAAGTACGTAAGCTCTGGACTTAAAGGGGGCAGTGGGGGCCCACTGATAGACTTCCTGCCACTCATGAGGAAGACCCAGGTTCAATCCCAACCAACGCACCTTGGGCACCCACTGGAGGCTTGCCTGCTGATCTGATGATGAACAAGGAGCAGTTGAAGACGAACTACAGGAGTTCAAATCCACCAGCTGCTCCACGGGAGAAAGATGAGGCTTCCTCCTCCCGTAAAGATGCACCGCCTTGTGAGCCCACGGGAGCGGCTCTCCTCTGTCCTGGGCGTCAGAATCAACTTCATGGCAGTGGGTCTGAGGACAAACAGATCTGACCAGAGCTTTCAGACTAGGATGGACCAGGAAGAAACGCCTGACCAGTGACTTCCCCAAACCAGCTGTCATGGACTGGATTATGTCCCCCAGAAACGTGCTCACTCACCCTCGCCCCCCCTCCCCGCTACACACATAATGCATAAATCCTCTCTGCAGGGAAGGTGCCATCTGCTCTCGGGCAGTGTGCTGGTACACCCACCACCATCACCCCCTGGGCTGTGCCCTTGGGCAGTGTGCTGCCCATGCCTGGGCCTCCACGCCATCTTCACAGTAGGCCGTGGGCTGAAGGCAGGTCCCTGTCTCTCTGAGTGGGGGACCCGGGCTTCAGCCAGTCAGGAGAGGTTGAGTTGGGCGGTGGACAGACCACAGAGAGATGCCAGCTCACCCTCCAGACTGGCTCAGAGAGCAGTCTCTTCAGATGCTCACAGGCTGAGTTTGGGGGTCTGGGGTCCCTGGGTCCAAGCATGCAGCTGACAAGAAGTGCCTTGGGCGGTGGGACTGGGCGCTGCGTCTGCACAGGGAGACCACCATCAGTCAGGATCTAGTCACACCTGCACACTCACTCACACTCACACACACTCACACACACAAACCTTCTCACACACATACTACATGTACAATCCCACTGTCACACACTAACACATACACATGCTCACACCCACATGCACTCACCCATACACTCACACACAACACACCCATGTGTGCTCACGCCCACACACAAAAACACACACACGTTGTCACACATCCACACTCACATCCTCACACACACCCTGGAGGGCCACAGGCAGGGTGGCTCAGTGAACTCCCGAGGGAGAGGTCACAAAAGGTGGAATCAGGAGCCCCCGTGATGAACCTTGGTGGTACTCTCTGAGAGCCCCGAGGGACAAACAGCTAACCAAGGCGTCGGAAGTTCAAGTCCACCCAGAGGCACCTCAGAGGCAAGGCCTGGGGACTCTCTCCTGCAGCCATAGAGGGTCCACGGAAGACCCTGTGGCTCCCACGCGGCTCCAACACACTCGAGGCTGCCATCATCGGGGCATGTCTGCAGACAC